GGGGGGGGGGGGGCAAAAAGACCAGACTGGAGAAGAAAGGGAGGGAAAAAGGGAAAAAAAGCCACAGTCTGAAACAAGATGCCAAAAAGATTTTTTTTAGAGATAAAGGATAAAGGATAGTGTATAATTAAAGAAAGATTCTGCAAGAGTACATAAGATAGTATTGTAGTATTTGCATTTGAAATAGTCTATTGGAATATTATAAGATTTAACAAAATATTAAAATATTAAAATGTTTAATAATGATAGATCTCAATATTTAATAAAATATTAAAGAGAATGTGTAAAATGATTAATGCTTAGTTATTGTTTAATTCGTTATTGTTTTAATGTTATTATAAATTTACTATTTCATCTTCTTATTCTAAAATAATGTATTAATTAGAATTAGAACTAGAATGGAAATTATATACTTAACTATATTATAAGTTTATTATTCTTTTATTTTAAAATGCAACATGTAGAATGTACTAAGCAGAATCAGGATGGAAATTATGTATTATTTTAAGTGTTACTTTAGGGGAAAGATAGAAAGGCGTCACACTTTAAAAGTGATTACAGGGGAAATTCTTTGCTAAAGAATTGGAAAAGAACGGACAAAAGATACAAGCATAATGATTTTGAAATAAGATGAAATAAACAAAATATAATTAAGAGAGTGAAAAGAAGGGAGACGTTATATAGAAAATATAGAATGGTTAATAAGATATGAATGGTATATAAGGTGAGCATGAATTTGATTTAGGTCTGTAAAAAAAGATGTAACCCGGGGCTAAGCCACTTTTCAAAAGAAGTTTTATGTTTTATGTTTTGTGTTTTGGTTAGCTATGTTTGATTGTGAATTAATAAAACCTTGGAGGAATAAAACTAAAGGGAGAGAAATTTGGAAAAGACATGTACAAATGATAATTAAGGAGGTTTTATCTTTTTATGTCTTGTTTTATGTTTTGTATTTTGTGTGTTTATGTTTGATTGAGAATTAATAAAACCTTGATAGAAAGAAATATAATTGAATAA